ACGAGGAGGAGTTATCTGCCAGAGCCTGAGCGGTGAGGATCTGCAGGTGCATGGTGGCAGAGCCGGGGGCCGCCGTCACCGGGGGCAACAGGGTGGAGCGGGAGGGGGCCGCAGGTTTGAAGACAGACTGACGTGTCTGCTGTTGCAGCTGCTGCTGAGCGAGAACCTGGGAAACACACAGAAATGAACTTCAAACCGCTTTCTGATTTAATTCCCCTGTGGCTTTCTGTTAACATTCCCCAGGTACCTGCGCCAGGATCTCCCCCGCCTGCTGCTCACTCAGCACGTAGTTCTGCACGTTGTTCAGAGGAGTGATGGTGCCGTCCTCCTGCAGCACATACTCCTGTTGCCAAAAATACACAGATTATTACATTTTTGGGTTCCCACAGCTTCTTAAACCTCAAATTCAAAGTCTTTCTGCTTAATTTTCCTACATTTAGGAACTAAAAACAGCAAAGTTTGACAATCGCATCAAAGTGAATTATGGTTGAGAATTTTTTGAGACAGCTCTTGTAGAAAACAATCAAGCTATTGCAGGGACATGAAGACAGTGTAAAAGTATTTTAAAATGATCAACGTTCGTAAAAAACATTACAATATTTGTTTTTAGTCTTGCACAAAATATATATATGTAAGCACTTTCAACGATCCATGTGTCTGTTTTGGTCTATTTTCAAAAACATTCAAGGCCTTGATATTTTCTTCTTTATATTCACAAGCTTTCAATGATTTTAAAAAGGACAATCGGGAACCATTTTATATTCAATCAATGTAGTGCATTCTATTAACCTGTTAAGCCCGAGCCTGTTTTTCAGTGATGATACTTATATTTCTAGAATCTGTGGAATCTCAGTTTACTAGCTAATATCTTTATGTGCAGATCCGATAAGTAATAAAGTATTTCTACCGTGAGTTCTGTGCTAAGTGCGTTAGCATTTTTTCCGCTCAGGGCTCATTCAGACGCTTGGCGTTAAGAGTTGTGTTTTGTTTCGGTAAAAATGGTTCGTATCGTCGCTTAGCTGAGTTTCTTACCGTTAAGTGGGTATGACACATTCATAGGTTGTTAAATGTTAAGAAGCCCCCGCAGGGCCGTGGGGCTCAACAGGTTAAGTGAAGCTTGAGTGTTATTCTATCATCCAGGCACTCTGATTCATGTGTTTTGATTCTCTAAAAATGCTTGAAGCCGAGGACTGTGGTGTTTGCGTAACAACCACTCAAACTAGTATTTTCTAGAATTACAGAGATCTGACCAATCTGTGCTGGCCAACACAAAGTAAGAGACTCGTTGAGATAAATGTTTCACTTTGAAGCACTTTGAATGCACTCTCAAACTCGAAAGGTCTCACCCAAATGAACAAACTAGTTATAGATATGTTTAGTTTTACTGTCGGGTCACTCATTACTAGATGCATGATTACTGGCGGGCTGTCAGGAGAGAGAGAGAGCGCTCCGTTTATTATTCCCGTGTTATTGTAAGTTACTGTACACTTTTGAATAATGTAGTTAATCTACTATAATTAGTTTGTTTAATATCGAATCATATCCATTTGTTTTAAGGCTCAATAAATAACAAAGAAGACCTTTGACCGGCACTTTTCTAATTTTGTCCGGAAGATTTCAACTTTAACGGACATTTTGACCGGCAAAAAAATATTCTAACGAGAACTCTGATTCATAAGTTAAATAATTCTCCTCACCACGATCTCTGTGTTGCTCTGCGTGTTGCTGTGCGTGCTGCTCCTGCTGTGCGTCCTCCGATGCTCCAGCCAAGTGTCTGGGGAGTCAAAGAGAGCCAGACAGTCCAGACACTGGTACTGAACGGGCCCCGACATCTGACCCTCCGACCCTTCCTCTGTCTCCAAAACCTCACACAGCTCTGAAAGACAGTCATACACACTGACAGTTAGTGTTGTGTCTCACTATTATGCTAACTGTCACTTCACCTTTAATATATTGTACTTATGCTACTGTTTGCTCGTCTCTTTATATGTTGCATCATGCATCGGCAATGCAGATTCAAAATTCAAAGACTTTATTGTCATATGCACAACTGCTACTTTTAATTTAACTTTTTTAATTTGTAATGTTATTTCTGAAATATTTTGGACTGTTTATTTCTTGTGTCTTAATTTTTCTTATGTACATTGCCTTGTGTTTTTTATGCTGCTGCAACGCAAACATTTCCCAAATTGGGATCAATAAAGTACTTATTTATTTATCTATCTATCTATCTACCCATCCATCTATCCATCTATCTATCTGTCTGTCCATCTATCTATCTGTCTATCTATCTATCTATCTATCTACCTACCTACCTATCTATCCATCTGTCTACCTACCTATCTATCTATCTATCTACCTACCTATCTATCTGTCTACCTATCTATCTATCTATCTATCTATCCATCTACCTACCTATCAACCTACCTATCTATCTATCTATCTACCTACCTACCTACCTATCTGTCTGTCTGTCTATCTATCAATCTACCTGCCTGCCTACCTATCTATCCATCCATCTACCTATCTATCTATCCATCCATCTACCTATCTATCTATCTATCTACAGCGTCGTTGTTGGAAATGAAAATCTTAAAAAAATATATATACTCCTCCAACAATGCAACATACAAACAGTGCTCAATTAAATGAAATAGCTCGAGAACCTAACATTGTATAAGATGCACATCAGGACAATGAGAAGCGGTGGGTTTCAAAGTATACTGTTCCCTTATTGCAGATGTCTACTACTCCCTGTAACTGCAAGTATATTTCATTGCAACTGGTGAAATGTCCTCAACTGTCTTCTAATTAAAGAATACAAAATAAAAAAATATTTCGAGAACCTAATGGTGCAATTATAAATACATATAATAGAATAGAAAATATCCCAACCAATGTCTGGACAAAATCCACGTTTTAATGATTGCTCAAAATACACACAATCAGACCTCTCACCTTGGTGCTCCACCTCCATCCCCGCCTCCCTCATGTGCATCTCCTGGTGCTGCAGCAGCTCCTCTGGGTTCACCAGCAGGGCCCCACACTCCAGACACTGGTACTGCTGGGTCTGCCCCAGCTCTGGGACGCCCTCGAAGTGCATGACCTCCCCTCCCTCTCCTTCTCCATCACCTTCTTGGCCCGTGTGGATCTGCTGGTGGATCAGCACATCCTCCAGGGTGTTGAAGAGCTCGTGGCACTCGCTGCACATGTACTGGTGCTCCACATACTCCGTCTCCTCCTGCTGCTCCTCCATGCTGGTGTTTATGTGTATTAATGTGTGTCTAATGTTGGTGTCAAGGGTTTGATGAAAGATGACGTCTTGATGTGGAATTTCTCCGCTGTGTCCAATGAATTAAGACTACATGTGTCATCAAGAAGGCCAGTGTAGGTGCAAATCTGTGGTAAACAAAACATTACAATGTTAAAGCAACGGAGGGTGAAAAAGTAATCAGATCTTGTACTTGATGTATTGCTGGTAAAGGTGGAACTCATGTAAAGTACTTAATTTACTGCTGGGTAGCATGTGTAGCTAAAGTCGTATTTAAGTGTTGATCATATTGTTTCTCATTTATCTATATCTGAAAAGTAACTGTAGTGGAGTGAAAGTACAATATTAACCTCTGAGTTTTGGTGGAGTAGAAGTAAAGTGTAACATAAAATGCAAATACTCAAGATAAGTACAAGTACCTCAAAAGTATACTTTAGTACAGTACTTGAGTAAATGTACTTAGTTACTTTACACCAATGATAAGCAACAATACTAAAGTAGCAGTTATGAACCAGCCATCGAACGAGTAATAGCCTACATGATAACACTGTTACTCTCAACGATACATGTGTTATTAGTATGTACAATGAAAAGACCCAACAGTGTTTACATTCATAATTTTTAAATAACCCCGCGAAAAAACATCGCACTCGTTAGCCAGATAGCCGTTGGCCCTCTAATGCTAACAACACGAGCGCCACTCATTAACAACTTGCAAGTCATTGTCTGATTTTTCTTCCAAATGTGATTCATATCATTCTTTACAGTGTGCCATGGCATATGGAGAGCTGTTGGCGGCGCTCCCTCCGATAATGCAGACCTGTTTTCGGCACCGCGGTTTCCTGACGGCGGCTCCCCGGTTCGGCGGTCCGTCAGGCGGCGCTACCCACTTTTCCCCGAAGCTCAACGGCTGCGACGGCGGGCCCTTCTTTCCCTTTAGCTCTCATTTACTCTCGTTGGACGAGCCCTCGTGTGTTCACCCCTCTTCGGTCACACAAAGCGTACGCCCGTTCTGTTAGTCCCGTGTTACCATGTATGGCTTGGAAATAATTCAATATGAAACATGTCCGTGGGAAAATGTCATTTCAATGCGTGAAATGAAGCGTTTGCCCGCCGATCGACTCCATTCTTGTGATACGAAGTCCCGCCCAATGCGGTAGTCTCAAAATGTCCGAGTCTGTGATTGGATGGGCTGACTGTCGATCATAAACGAGTTTTACTGCTGGGCATTGTAGTTTTTGGTCAGAGGAAAGTTTTCTCTCGGTTTACTGCAGTTGATGGATGCCGGCCTTTTTCAGAATCATTCTTACTCAAACTTAGTTTAGTTTAGTTACCTAAACACAACAAATTAAATAAAAACAACTAACATTTAAGAAATTATTTTTAAAATAGTGACAACCCTAAGCAAATTAACACTGACCTAAAAGTATAGGCTGAAGCCTCAGCTTATTACACCTACCCTTATTACACTAACTATTTAGAAAATGTTCATTCAAAGTACACACTAAAATCGTAAGAAATAAACTAAACTAAACAAAAATATATAATGTTGTGTATTTTGATTGAAAATGTATTTTGGTAACATGATTCATGTGTTTTCCAACATAGTTTTTAATTGAATAAATATTCCAAACAATTATTATTCTAATATTAAGCAATAAAACAGTGATCTCCGTCCTAAACTCGAATGTACAGTAGTGTGGACTCTCAGACCCCAATGACTCATTCCCCCAGAAACCCTTGCGCGCTTTACGTAGATGTGCGTCAACTCCCCAGTCCCCCCACCATCACCGTTCTACAGAGGAAGAAAGGGGGAGACGGGCAACCTATACAGAACGCTGTAAGTGTAGTTTATATTCATACCGAATATTAAAATACACATATATATAGCTTAAGTTTGTGCCGGTCTGGCCACGAATAACGTCCAACCTTGCCCCGGCTTTAGTTCATACAAATATGAGCGGCAGCGGGCGGCCCAGGACCAGCTCCTTCGCTGAGCCTCCCGGAGCTCCCGGGTCCGCTGCAGCCGGTGCCGGATCAGCAGCAGCCGGTGGGAGCTCGACAGGAAAGACTGGGGCTTCAACAGCCAGTGGAACCAGCTCGACGAGCTTCGGGAATCTGAAACTGCCTAGTGAGTATTATTTTTTACATTTGTATACTCCAAGAGCAATATACATATTATTACAAAGACCCGGGTTGAGGGTTATTTTTAGATAAATGTGCCGGAGTGTACTTAGTGTCGATCATTGTCGCGAAGCTAACCCTTAGCCAGCAAGCAGTTAGCTCGTTAGCTAACTTAAGCTAGCTGCTAACGTTAGCTGTGTTTTTCATTAACGAACCATTGCGATCAAGGGCTTTTATCGCATAGCTAACATGATCGTTAGCTGCTGATGGCAAGCGTGGAACTAAACCATCCATATTTTGAAGGTAAAACATGTTATTTAAATGTTTTCGGCAACATTACCTAACCCTTATTTTTGCATTGAAACCCAAGAATAGAGTTGGTGTAAGCCGTTGGTCAAATGTATTCGTCATTAATATCAGATGTGGAAGCTAGTTAGCCTGCTAACATTTGTAAAGAGTAGGTTTAAATGATCCAGTCTAACTTTTTAGGCGTCGTCCTCGGCCCAGTCTCATGTTGAACAGAGCTTTTTTGCCAGACTAGGGTAGCGATACCAAACGTCGTGTGATAGCCTGCAGGAGTGGACATTTAAATCAGTGGAAATATACCAAAGAGTTCCAGATTATAATGTATAAGCATATGGCAACCATATCTAACCTAACCTAATGTCACAACTCATCTTGATGCCTACACTGGTGCATAATGAAAGAATCAATGCACAGATTTAAACAGCTGGAACAGTACTTATGTCCATACTAGGCCATCTTTCAGAAAGAAAGTGAGAATTCTAGTTTAGTGTGGTGGAAACAGTTTGGTAAACCTTGTTTTGCCTCTTTGCCTTTTCAACTGGGTTGGCGTCCTTTAAAGATGAAGTTCTACATTGTAGTACATTTCTGTACACCTTAGATGAAGCTATTATTCTCTTAAGTAGCCTGTCTGATGGTTAATATGCTCACCATTTTGAGGCCCCTACTAGAAACCCTGCTCTGCCAACAGCAAAGTCCCTCCAGTTGTTTTACTGATGTGATGACAGGAACATGCAGAATGCTCAGGGGTCATGTAGCAGTGAGCTGAAGATAAGCAGGGTTGGACAGAGGTTTTCCAAAGAACATGCATGGAAAGACTAAAGAAAATGGTGTCACAACTTTTGCGTTTGATATCATGTTTTTGTTTAAATAGGGGGGGAAATGCAGTTATTTGGCCCCTGACAAGTAAACCTGATTTTGATTTAATAATCAATTCTAAGAACAGTTGAAATAACAAAGACAATGAATGAAAGTCAAAGTTGTCTTAAGCTGCTGTGTAGTAAGGCTTAGCTTGTAGGTTAGTACATGCAGTCCATCAGCAGTTCTCCATCAGGTGATTTGCTCTATTCACACAGTTTCCATTTAAAAATGGTTTCCCTTCCTGGAAGATTTAAAGGTCCCTGAGAAATGAGAGACATTCTAGTGAAATATTATCTGTGTCTATTATAATAATAATAATATGCCGGTCAAATAAAGATTGTGGTTGGGGCATTCATATTTATTACCATTTTAATTGGAAATTAATTTGCTTATTGCCTACATTTTATTTCATAGAAATTAAGTCCAGTAAGACCCGTGCATAAACAGGCACATAACATTTAATTATGTTCTGCCGACTTCAAAATGAAATCATTTCCATTCCCTTTCCCTATCAGCCTTTTTATAGATAAAAAACCAAATTGCCTCGAATTATAACTCTTTAAAAGCAAACAAAGAGATTAACTGTAACCCATAACTGACTCATAATGGGTTGGGTGGCTCGCTTTTACAAGCATCGCTGTCATCTCAGCAAGAGGGACTGTGACGGTGCAAACGCATCGCTGGCACTTTCTTGGCCAAAACACATTTTACAGGTTGAAAGAAAATTCAATCAGGTTGATTACCTGATTACCAAAACCCTAATTCACATACATTGCTTTTTATTTTATGCTCTCTTTTTCCTAGTTTTAGTTTTCACTCTCTAAAATCATTTTACTTGATTGCCTGGGCCCAGCAGAAGTTCAATAAAAGTGCTCTTTTAGACTAAATGAACACTAACTGGCAAGCTCTGAAAATATCTCTTCCTTTTTGCCTTTTGGCCAGACTAAAGTGTCTATTTTTGCACCCCAAAACTAAGGCATCTTCTGTAAGAGATGCATCCGAAAACCCCGGGCTCCACATTTGACTGTGCATGGGAAAAACCGAGCTTGAGGCACTTTGCCTGCTCGGACATAGTTAGATATTGTGCAGCAGCAGCAATGTTAATAAGGTCACTTTCTGCAACCTCTGCTCTCAGCGATTGTGCCAATACTGCCAATCACACAAGACAGATGTCACTATTAACCTCTATTTATTGTTGTCAGATGACTTGGCAGCATGTTAAAGTGATTTAATCAATGACTTTGCTGCAGCAGTGAAGGAATAACCTTTCTTCATTAACGGGTAGCGTTAACAAGCAACAATTAAATCAGTCTGAGAACAGAAATAAAAAAATGATGTCAATGGTGTCTTTGACGATATTGACAAACATTTAATGTCATCATTTAAATCAAGAGGTGACAGAGATCAGCTAAGCCTGACCAGAGATACATTATTTTGCAAATCAAAGCTTTTAGGTTGTTAACGATCAATGTAAAGTGACAAATAATCTGTTATTAGCTAGCATATATGCATGAGATTCATCATCTTATATCAATAAACTCTTGCTTAGTTAAGCCACAGTTTTGTGACAGGGAAGCTGGACTAATCCACATTCAATTCAAATTCTCCATCAATGTCATTATCACTATTATATTAAGGTGCCTGAGCAGTCATGTCAATCCCCTGCCTCATTTTACCTCACTTTAAAAATAATCCACGCAGGGTGGTATATAGATTTGATATGTAGGCAAAAGAGAGTACATTATCAGCAATTGATATCTGTCAAGGCCAAGTGCTAATCCGGTTGAGTTGAGGTATTGAAGGGAAAAAGTAGGATCAGTGCATTGCAAGAGCGTCTGTTTGGGGGCTAAATGTGGACGTGAACTGCTTAACTTAAGGTTCCTGATCAACAAATGTAGTTATTTGTATTTAATGTGATCATGTTTGATGTATGGTCAGTTAAAGCATCTTATATTACGGAGGAGGGGAAACCTTTAGGCGTATGGATTAAGGCTCCAATAGCTTTGGAGTGATTTATCCAAGCCACACCCAGAGTAAATCCCTCATCAGGCGAGGTGTCCACTAATGATAAAGTACTTGTTGCAATTTATCATGCAATTGCGGATACTTTCATCAAGTTAAAAGTGTGCCTGGGTTTTACACTTCCAAAGGTGCTCCAAGCTAATTGCTTGTTAGTGTGGGTGTGATTTCGTCACTCTGCTCATCCCATTTCTCTTACTCATCAGGCGTGTGCTGACGTATGAGAAACCAAAGCGATTCACTGACAGCTGGGCAAAGTGCTCATCTTTGCATTCATTATTCAAGGCACTATCATGCCACAGCTGCTCCATATTTAATGTGCTCCCCTCTGACTTAACTTGTTTAAAAAAAGAGTGTGAAAGTGATGCTAAAAGGAGAAACAGAGGAACATTGTTTTGAGGATACAGGAATTTGCAGGAACCACAAAGTGACTGATCTCTAAAGATGAATGTTTCGCGCTTCCCTGAGGGGGGGGGGGGTCGGATGTAGGCCAATCATGTGGATAAGCTATCGGCCGTTAACTAACAACCTTGATACATTTCAGGCTAGAAAATTGCAAAAATACCAAATTATACAGTTGTCTTTTGTCCACATGAGTCAATTGGTTAGCTTATTTTGGTTTTATGATTATATTTTTTTATACAGACAGAAATAGCAGTTGATGAAGCCAAAATACTGTCTTGTTTTTTTGGTCAATTCATGGGAGAGCCCAAAATGCTTCATTGTCTGACTCCATTTTGAGACTCGGAGACCTACTAGAGATCAGGAGGGGTCCTGTTGAGACAGGCGAAGTGAGCAAGCTCAGGAAATAGGAGCACTTCTGGGTGTGCTACTGTCCACATCATTTTTATCACAGGCTCTGACAAGCCTTTTGGCAATGGGCCTCTTCTCTGCTGTTCTTCCCCTTCTAGTGTCATTGCTCCTGGTGCCGATTTGTCAAATCAGTCTTGACCCAACACAGGCGCAACAAACACTGAGCAGCAACTTGACCCTAACGAGAGCTGTCAGATCTTAAACATCTCACTTTGCCTGATTTGCACACGGACAAATACTCTGTCATAAATAATAAGAATATCTCTACCTGTATTTTACCTCCTTAAGAAACACTTACGGCCCGTCCACACGGAGGCGTGCGTTGAAGCTTCAATGCTTCTGCCCATTCACTTTGAATGGGGTGATGCATTGTGGGAGCGAAGCGTAGCTTCAGAAGCGTTGCTCGCTGCAAAAGTTGAGCAATGTTCAACTTTTGAAGCTTCGGCGGAAGCGTCAGCCAATCGAATCATATGCCAGTACAAGCTCTAGCCAATCAAACCGCGTGCTTGTGTGTCCAGGGCGGGAGATTCATGTGATTGGTTGTTGGTCGAGTTTCAGCCCCCCCCGCCGGCAAGCTTCAACGCACGCCGCCGTGTGGACGGGCCGTTATAGCTACGGCTGGGCGATGTGTTGATATTATATTGATACCCTGATACGAGACTAGATAGCGTCTCAGATAATATAATATTGTAATAGCGTAGGTGGTGTCTTTTTACTGGTTTTATAAGTTTAATTACATGAAATTACAATGCTCCCCGGGCGCTGTACAATAGCTGCCCACTGCTCCTAGTACTAGACTCCTGGTACTAGGATGGGTTAAAAGCAGAGAACAAATGTCACTGTGTGCTGTGTGCCGTGTGCTCTGCATGTGTGACCATTAAAGAGGGTTTCATCCCTCCCAATATAAAGTGATGTCATTTTCTGAATTTATGAGATTGTTATAGCTTTTATTTGCTTTTACCCACTTAGTCAATGAATACACATTCCTGATGACCAATGGTCAAAAATCTCATTGTGTAAATATTTGGTGAAAGAAACCCTACAAAGGTATTTGATAAGAAAATATAATCTGCAAATCAACCTATATCAAACATAAGCCTAACCCTATCCTAGTCAACCTATATCTTACTATTTTATAATGTATCCATAAATGTGTAGATATTTAACTGTTGTATGGGTACAGGGTATATGTATATGATTGCAATGGGGACGTTGAGGTGATTGAGAATGCAGAGGTTTTGAGCTGAAACTGTAATTGACGCAGAGACACAGGTTAAACCTGCAATCCCTGCTAGTCACCGCGGCGCCGCCTCTGGCCCTTTCCAAGCCGACCTCGAACCAAGAGTGTATCTGCCGGGCGTCGGCCAATCAGCTCCCAGAGGAGAGCCAGGCCCAGTGAGCGGTGTCTCTGCCCAGCAAGAGGTGTGCTGGATTTATAACACAAGACAAAACGAGAGCACCATAGCGAAACGTTATGTTGCAATAGTCATTTCATTCCGATTCTTTTTTTGGTGATAATCATTAGAAGCCAATACAGTAATTGACAATAAAATGAGATGCATTGCACAACCATAAGTTCTGTCGGGCTGCACCATATGTGTTTCTCCCGTTTATAAAGAGGTTGGAGCTGGTTTCACTCAGTGGGGAGCGGGAAATTGTTGTGTGAAGTATCAGCAGCTCATTACCAGCAGCCAGTGTGTGTCTGGGGAGCCACCAGATTGGTCACAACCATTTAGAGACGTTAAATCTCTCTCTCAGGGAAACTGGATTAATAGCCGAACTGTAGAGGGTCATTTCACTTGACTTCTCACTCGTCTAAACTTCTGTTCATCAAAGAAAATACTGGTCTTTTTATTACAAAAATATCCATACTTTTCACATTATCAGAATCAGAAACGGGTTTATTACCAGGTAGGTTGAGACGTACGAGGAATTTGACTTGGTGTCGTGGTGCATACATAAAAGTAAAACAAACATTTAAAAACACAGATGGAGAACTATTTTACATATGTAACTTGATTGTCATTTTGGCTTTTTCTAACAAGGCGTGTTTTCTGCCCACAGGAGACAGTGGCAAGGTGACGACGGTGGTAGCCACACCTGGCCAGGGCCCCGACCGCCCACAGGAAGTCTCTTATACAGACATAAAGGTTATAGGAAATGGCTCCTTTGGGGTGGTCTACCAGGCTCGCCTCATCGACAGCCAGGAGATGGTGGCCATTAAGAAAGTTCTCCAAGACAAGAGGTTCAAGGTATGTTTAGAGAAGCTTAAACTAACCAGGTCATTACTGTTTGGGGGTGCTTCATGGAGTTTTTGAAAAAGAATGTTGGTAATGATCAATAAAACCAAAGACCAGGGCGGGGAGGGGGTCAACGGGAATACGATTATAAAGTGTAGTACCTCACGTCATATTCTTTCCTATTTCTTGACGATTTCTGTACTTTGTTATCCCTGTATCATCTGTATACTGACCTGTGTTTATTTACATGCCTAATAATTTGATTGTACACTGTATCTCCCACCTAGACTGACCGTTTTATGTATGTGTAATGTTCGTTCTATTCGAAAACTTCAAAAGATCATTACTGTTAAAGTTGCACCTACAAAGAAGTGGTAATGGATTTGTTTAAATACTCTTTTGTTATGGATTAAGAAAACAATGTTACCTGTGCATGTTTGTAATGAGTCCTATCTTTTCTTTCTTCATTACAGAATAGGGAGCTGCAAATTATGAGGAAATTGGACCACTGCAACATTGTGAGGCTACGTTACTTCTTCTACTCCAGTGGAGAGAAGGTGTGTACGCACTGACGTGACGTTTTAATGCAGCATGAATCAGGTTTCTAGACGAAGCACTCTCCCTCCACACCCAGCATGCATCAGTGATGACTCATAGACACGTTTCAGACAAGTTGATCCTGGTCTTATTGTACTTTGAGTTCCACTCTCTTTACTTAACGGTTTACAGGTTCAAGCTCTTTTGATGAATTGTTGGCTTATAATTGTGGTTTTCTTAACCTGTTTAGCCCTGAGCCTGTTTTTCAGGTCTCAGGCTCGAAAATGACATTCCCAGAACAAATGACCATATCTTCCCTTCTAAAAGGGGAAAATTAATAATCTTTTTTCTCAAAGTAATGATAAACCTGTGAGTTGGATGAAGAAAAGTCAGAACACTATAGATGTTTTTTATTTTAAAGAAAATTCAGATTGAACATAGTAAAAAAAACTGTAAATTATAGTGTCCGTCCAAAAATTATTTTTTACTTATAGTGAAAACTACCCTTGGATGATGGTAAGGTAGACTAAAAGCTTTAGGAATCCAAAGTACAACATATAATAAGTACCCTGTATCAAGATTGATGCAAAACAAGTGACATTTGACCTTTTTAGAGAGATTTAGCAAAGAAAACTCCACCTCTGAGGTGATTTGGGTGATTACCGGTTCTCTGGAACCCATTGGTCGATTTTGGTGATCTCTTTCTGACCGTTAGAGCCAATAGAATCGAGGGGAATCTCCCCACTCACTAACATGGTACAAAAAAAAGGTGGGGGCTTCGCGCATGCAGTTTTGCATCAGAGCGAACCTATACTCTAGCTCTGACATCTGGAAACGGAAAAGCAGGTTTATTGCTTATGGATTATCAGAAATCATTTCAAAGGGACACAGACACATTGGATTAACCTATGGATTAACTTCAGCAGCGTTTTTATCGTTTTAATGCCATTGAAGACCAGTTTTGACCAGACAACGACACAGTTAAGCCATGTTAGCGTTTTTAGCTACCTAGCGCCACATGTTTTGATGTCTGTTTTTGTTTATAAAGTCGCGAGTTCGTATCATTGAGTGATAATGTATGTACCCATCGATTCTGTGTCACCTCACGATGTGAAACGATGTGTTGGATGTGCAGCAAAGATAAATAATAAGGTTTTGTGAGTGAATTTCGGTGCAGTAATCTGTTAGCATTTTTCGCTCGTTGCTACTTCAGAGGCTCAGCGTTAGCATTGTGGGTTTTATTTTGAAAAATAAATAAAAATGATCAGTTAGATGAGTTTCTTCCCGTTACATGGATATAAAACATTCATAGTTTTATTAAATGAACATGCCCTCAGACACTGTTTCCTGCAAGATGTTGCGGGAGTGCCCCGGTACCGGGGTCTCTCGGGCTTAACAGGTTAAATGTATCTGCACCTAAGAAAACATGAGCTTTTGATCCATACCCTGTGAACTTAACACTACACAAACTAAATACTTTTGCCTCTTTTTTTTATTGCTTTATACCCCAAATCAGCACTTTTGAAACAGGAAGTGAAATAGAGGGATATGAGGCATGGCTAGAATGGGTGATCTGTTTGGTATTTTGAGCAAAACACTTCATAGACATGTTTTTTATATATCTGAGACCCTATAGGTGCTTTCACACCGCAGTACTTTTCCCACTTTAGTTCCGCTATAGTTCCGAAATGTCGTGTTCACACCAAAAAAATCGAAACTAAAATTAGTTCATGAGAACCTTTTTACCCCCTTTTCCGTCCCTGCTAGAGAGCAAAAGGTTCCTATTTCTGATTGGCTGGGCGGATTGCAAACCACGCCCCGTGAAACTCCCAAAAAGTTTTGTGAAGCTGCCATTTTATTATCCTCGCATTAGCATTATTAGCATTAGCCCAGCGCACAAACGCAGAGATACTAACTTATGGCAACACAAAAGAAAGCATGGGAGCGGTGGAGTGATGAGGAGGTGTCGGCGTTCTGGCGATTTACTCGGAAGGCTTCAGTGGAAGCTGCTGGGAGTCCCAGCAGCTTCCACTGAAGCCAGTCCCCAACTCCGGGGACTTCCGGCCGGGGACTTCGGGTGGCAGTATACACCGTGAAGTGGTTTGCAGCCTGCCAGTAAACCCAAAGCAGCAGCAGCAGCAGCAGAAGAAGAAGAAGTGACGTCAGCGGCTTCATTTGCCTAATCCTCCCCCAGGGACTTATTCCGGTGTGAACGCGATCTGTACTTAGTTCATGAGAACTAAAGAGTTCTCATGAACTAAGTTCTGATGAACCTTTGTGGGAAAAGTACTGCGGTGTGAAAGCGCCTTATGCTATTGCCTAAAAATAGCATGATTGGTGACCTTTAAGAAAATAAGTCCAAAGTATGAGATACATATTTCATTATGTCCTTTTAAAAGCAGTCTGATAACTAATAGTATTTATTTGTTGCCTAATTACTCCCCCCCATGTACCACACAACACATTTTATTAAATTGGTTTTATACATCCCTTTTTTCTTTCCACCTATAATTAAACAACCTTTGTCCTTTCCCCCCCTCCTTTTCAGAAAGATGAGGTGTATTTGAATCTGGTGCTGGACTTCGTTCCCGAGACCGTGTACAGGGTGGCTCGGCACTTCAACAAGGCAAAGACCACCATCCCCATCATCTATGTTAAGGTCAGTACACACAAAACATATTCACACACACACACACACACACACACACACACACACACACACACACACACTGCTTGGTGTGCACAAAGGCACGTCTTCCACCATGCCACTATAAGCATTAAAAGGTTAATTCAAGTCAGTTATTCAGGGTTTAAATACTTACATTCTCACAAGGGAACACAAGCTGTTCTAATCATAGGGGCAAATAAACTGTCTGGTCATTCTGACTACAGTCAAAGTCATCATAAGAAGTCCACAAAGCTTGCAGAGGTCTTAACCCCTGTCTGTTTATCTATCCAAAAGTAACAGGAATGAATGGATATCACTGGTTTTGTGTGGGATTAATACATCTGAAATGCCCTTTAGCTGTAATTTAACATAGTGCATTCACTCGTTTTTGGGAACCCCTGACACCCAGACTGCCAAACAAGACAGATACAGTACTTCTGCTTAAAAGCCTTTTGCTTTAAAAGTTGGAGAATGTATCGTCTTTGGCAGAAGATCTGTGTGCTTACTGCTTTACGTCTTTCTAAAATAGAGACCTTATGTCACACTCTGCGACATCACATGGAATATATGATACTTACATCCTAATGTTTGGATTTGAGCTTCATCCGTTACTTAAGGTCGTATTTAAGGAAACTACATTTCTTCAGTAATTGCCTGAGGATGTAACAAGCAATCGAGTATGTTCCTGTTGCCTCAGCTCACTGTTTAAGGATTATAGAAGCAGAAAGGGAAAGGTGGTCCCAAGGGAATTCATCTGTTTGCAATACACTTGGCTCCCTGTCTAAAAGGGTGCTCATTTCGGAGAGAGTGTTTGTGTGTTTACTGTGTCTGCAGCAGCAGAGGACATTATAGCTGTCTCATGGCCCATTTCCCCTCCTCAGCCTGCTGCTCCCCCACGGCTCGGAGATGCATGCTGATCTCTCCCTCACACACACACTTTCTCTCTGCGCTGTCATCCCTCCATCCTCCAGCTCCACACTTCTATCTCAACGTGCCATCTCTTCCCGTCCCCTGGGACTCAATGTTTTCACCGTGTCTCTCATTGTTTCCCCTCTTCCTCACCCCTGTCCTCCTCTTCGACCTTTTTAAACAGCGTCCTTCACTCATCATTTTCTCTGCAATCATCTTTTAATCTGTGTCACTGCATCATGTGGGTAATAATGGCGAGATAATGGTGATGGCGGTGATTTGTCATATTAAGATGCTTTCTGTCGGCATACCACAGGCACATTTAATAGCTGCCGACTTATTAGTGAGAGCCATTTTTACACAAGGACATCACCATTGACCTAGGATGTTTAGACAAATGTCAAATAGGGGTTAGTCGTACATCTTCTGGGGGGGTTTTTGCCCCCCTAATGTTATTTTGTTGTAAAAAATCATGCCACTGCGGGCTGCAGCAGACGTCACACAGCTGCTTCTTTCAACACTGCATCCAGAAAACAAAATTAGGGCACAAATTGATGTGACTGGTGTGTGATGAGAAACCTTACAGACACACACAGATGCTCCTGCCTCTGCCAAAAAAAAATACAAACTTGTATTATAGAGCCAGATGGTGTGTAAGATTTTTAATTTGTAATGCAGTTTCCCAACTAAAGTCAGCTAAGCTTCAGCTCAGTAGTTCCAAAAGTTCAAACATGTTATCTTGGTCCTCATCAAAGTGTATTTAGTGATTTATTTTCACAAGAAATTAGCAAAGTTTAAGCATAAGTCTGAACAACTCAAAGCAATACTTCTTACTTCAACTACTTCCTGCTTTCTGTGCCATTTATAATGCTATTTCAGGAACCACTGCCTTCGCTCGGGTCAGCTAAGGTCACACGAGACTTCCAGTCCAAAGGGAAATGACATTAAAGTATCTGAATGTATACAAGGCAATTAATTAAGTGGGTATTGGTAGATCCTGAAAACTCTTTAAAATTCAACAGGAAAGTCTTGCTTGTTAGTTGTTGAAGTCTAAGATATTGTCTCTTGCATGTTGTAGGCAGTCATTTGAGTATTTTTGCATCCAATTGCAGGCTTTAAGGAGCTGTTATATATCTATAAACCTTTGAGTTTGTTACACTATGTGCTCGTAGGAGCGTATATAATTTTATGGAGAAGAGGACATGGGAAGCTCATTGTTCTCAATGGAATTAATTACATTTCAATTGGTTAAGCAATCCATTTTCTGCCAATTATCGGTCCAGATTGCATTAATGAATGAATTAAATATTCAACACATTTATTAGAACATGTTATACAGTGCGTGGAAGTAATAGAACATTTGTAGTAAATTGTCAACGGGGGGGTGGGAGGGGTTCTAGTGATTTGTCCGACCGGCCCACTTCGGTACTGGCCCATCCCAAACGTCCCGATGGCCAGTCCGCCACTGATTCTTGCCAAAGTATTACAATTCTATCAACTAGTCAGAAAACTTGAATTTGTTTTAAAGGTAAATTGGTTTATTGTGCTTTTTGTCAATTTTTCAGCTGTTATGCATTTAGGAGACAAAGAAAAATTGGGAAATATTTACACAACATTATCATTGGTGTATTATCAACATGGAATACATTTGTATTTATTTTAATATCGGTAATTATCAATTATCCCAACACCACTCATTCAAGCTTCCTACAAGCTTTCCAACACACTTCAATACTTTGACCAGTATTATAGAAACAAGAGGTATTACATTGCATCCAGTGTGGTATTAAAAATGTTTAAATAAGGCGTGAATGTACCTTGTTGAACTCTGATAGGGATCTGGAGCCTCCCTGTGAGTCATGAGTCACCTGACTTCACATGCAAACAAGGGGAACACCTGACAGCTCTTTTTTGCTTTTTATTCCTGGTTTATCTGTATGTTTCTGTCTGAGTTGATGCTAACCCTCTCCCCCCCCCTCAGGTGTACATGTACCAGCTGTTCCGCAGTCTGGCTTATATCCATTCCCAGGGCGTGTGTCACAGAGACATCAAACCCCAGAACCTGCTGGTGGACCCGGAGACGGCCATCCTCAAACTCTGTGATTTTGGCAGGTCAGTACCAGACTCTGCCTCTGGACATCAAGTCTGTCTCCCATCATCCTGTGCATTGTTGTGACAGTCTGTGTCTCTGTGTGTCTGTGTTTACTTAGCTGTCTGTTGGTGTAGCCATCTTATTTTATTTTTTTATTGAAGACACATAGAAAATACATTTCAAGGTTCAAGGCTTTTATTAGTCATACGTACATAGCTATAGTGTAGTTATGACGATGACAATCTTAGGTCCCAGGCTCCAACATTGATAGGTTAGATTGAACAGTTCAAAGCTACTAGTGTTCAGCTTAGTCTCTACTATTGAACATCAATTGACAAACCATACATAGAAGATCTTCACTTGAAGGCGTACAATATTCAAACCACAATTATAACCAAAACAGACCATGTAGCCAAAATGTAAGAGGGTTGTACAGACTAACAGGACAAAACAAAAATAAATAAACAAACAATACAAAGACAAAACAATTATATATAATAAAGAGGAAAGGGGGGGGTTTACCTTCTACTCACTGCTGAACATAGTAACTAACTTGGCACTAACCGGCAAATATATATATAAGCAAACTAATTAACCAACTGTCTAAATACTAGCTTATTTACTAGGCTACTAAACCAATTGTCTAAGAGATTAGCTACAAACTTTCTAACTAGCTATTTTGCTACTCGTCTAGCAACAGTCTAACATACTAGCTAACCTAACATAACTACAAACCAAATGACATAAGGTATTAGCTTAGCTATAAGCTTCTAACAGATATTAGCTAACCAGCTACTAACTCACTGACTAACGCAATAGCTAACTTAACATTACTTCTGACCAACTTCCTGACATTTTAGCTAACTTGCTACAATTAACTGTCCATCATACCGGCTAACCTAAAATTGCTTCTGACTAACTGCCCAATATATTAGCTAACCTAAAATTGCTTCTGACTAACTGCCCAATATATTAGCTAACCTAAAATTGCTTCTGACTAACTGCCCAATATATTAGCTAACCTAACTAACTTTCTAACATATCTAACTGTCTAATGAATTTCTAACCTAACATTACTACAAACCAACTGCCTCACATTGGTTACTAGCTAAATTACTACTAACCCACTGTCTAATATAAGAGCCAACTTTAAAATATTGCTAACCAACTGCCTAACATACCTTAACTTAACTACTAAGACACTGCGTAATATAGACAACTAGCTAACTTGCTATTGACAACTGTCTAACAGAGTATCTAACTCAACATTACTACTAACAGATCTGCCTTACAAGCTTTTAGCTAACTTGATACTAAACAACTACCTAACACAGTGTCCATTAATCAGTAGACACAAATAAGAGGGAATTGAAGAAGGGTTTGTGTAGCCATCTTTTTCTGAATCTCTGTCATAAGTCCTTGTCACCTCTCTGTCTTCGTTTGACATGCTGTGGTTTTGTGAAAACAAATTAAGGAAATGAAGGTTCAGGTCGGGGTGTCATGGTCATATCCGACTAGATATCATCTCTTATTTTGAACACCGTGATATTCTAGCTGTTTCTTTTCCTGGTTCTAAAAGCTGCATTACAGTAAAAGGATATCATTTTCTGAATTGACCAGCCTTGTAGCTTTTACGTACATTTCCATTTCATTTAGCTGATGCTTTTATCCAAAGCGACTTACAATAAGTGCATTCAACCATGACCACGATACAAGCTCAAAGCAGCAAGAGTCCTGCAAGTACATTATCTTTAAATAAGCCAAACTGCTGCAAGTGCTAATGCATTGGCTTCAAACAAGCATGCTAGTTTAAGGTACATGTTCTCTCTCTCGCTCGTTCTCTCTCTCACTCTCTCGCTCGTTCTCTCTCTCACTCTCTCGCTCTCTCTCTCTCTCTCTCTCTCTCTCTCTCTCTCTCTCTCTCCAATCCGTGGAGCCGTTACGTTAAGCCCCCGCTGATTGGTCCAAATTGACCAATCCACGGACTTCCTCACACACAGGCAGCTCTGCTGATTTCTCCTCCCTGGCTGCAGGCTGATAACAGACAGTTGGGATCGCGGCTAAATTCTCTCTGCAGACCCATTCTCACAGCGTTTATCAACCTTTTTCTTACTCAATATCAAGCCACACTTATTGTTTTTACTTCGGCTGTGACTTTGCGTGTGCTCAGGATGAGTTTGGCTGTGTTTGGCTGTGTATCGCTAAACAAGGAAACCACACCTCCACGGAGCTCAGCGCGATTCACAACGTCCCGACCAATCAGAGCACACTGTGCTCACAGGGAGGGTGGGGGCTGGAGCTATTGGAGCTACAACGAGCCGTTAAAGGCAGAGAGTGAAATTCAGTGAATACACGTAGTTTACAGAGATGCTGTATGAGAAACCAATGTGAGTTTGGAAAAATGCACAGTATAAATCTATTCTAGTAGACCTCAACAATGGAATTATGATCAGTGGAAATGGCCATGACACCTCTCCTTTAATAAAAATCTGCTTTAGTTTTAAGTTACTTTACTATATATGAGATTGAAGTGTGTATATATATATATATATACAAACCTTGTAAAGACGGTGTATACGAGAACAGCGTTGTCCATTAGTCAATTAGCCAATTATATCAAAATTCGTTAGCATCTACAAACAAACTGATTTTTAGTTTTTGTTAATATTGAGTACTTGTGTTTTACTTCAGTAACATTTCCAATGCAGCACTTAATTGTTTGTACAGACGGAGAGATCGAAATACCGTTTCCCACAATCCTGAATACAAAAATACAAATATGTATAAAACATGTGTATCCTATATACAATCAACAGACACATTTATACATATGAAACATTAAGATGAAAACACAACAATCAATATATACAAAATAACAGTCACTTCAATATCTTTGGAAATGTACATTAGTGCAAGATTGTCCATAGCAGCGTAAAAAAGTAATAAACTAATACACCAATGCACAACTTTTACAGTGTTGTATTAGTACTTTTACTTATTAAAAATATCTTAATACTTCTTCCACCACTAACTATATATATATCTCTTATCTCTTGTAGTGCGAAGCAGCTAGTGCGGGGGGAGCCGAATGTTTCCTATATCTGCTCGCGGTACTATCGCGCCCCGGAGCTCATCTTTGGAGCCACCGACTACACGTCCAACATCGACATCTGGTCGGCCGGCTGCGTGCTGGCCGAGCTGCTGCTGGGCCAGCCCATCTTCCCCGGGGACAGCGGGGTGGACCAGCTCGTAGAGATCATTAAGGTAAAGAGAGGAAGACTACAGACACTGGCACAACGCCGACTGATGCACGGGGCAAGATGAAAGGAGACATGGAGGAAAGTTTGGAATCCAAACTACTATCAGTGTTGGCTTTGGGTGTCAGGAAACGGCTGGAAATGTGGTTGAAAACAGGCTATACTTAGCTATTCAACCTGGTAGATTACTAATTTTCATTTGGTTAACAATCCATTTTAGTTTTGCTTATCCTTGTCCAGATTGCATTTATTAATTATACATTTTCTTTGGTCTTATGTACTGCTTAGAAGTACCTGAGGAGATGTCACCTAATAGTTGCCAAAATAAACAACTTCTATCAATACTATAGAAAATGTGAAAAATATATTAACACAGTGAAATGTTTACTTAGTTTTTTGTGGGTTTGTTTATTTGAATTTATTCTAAATTGGAGCGCTGCGTAATCAAAATCCAACCCGACTAAATAAAGTATTTTGTGATTCTGATAGTAAAACATTCATTGATACCTCCCCAGTCAATGCATGTGTACTTATATTTCAACACAGATAGTATTCAATAAAGAACAGTAGCCCTGGAAAGATAATGCAAGCTTTACACTTAATATAACAAAGGATACATTTTGTTACGCTCCACATTTAAAACCCCTTCTCCACATTTTGAAGGACACGCCAATGATTGTAATTCATATTAATATTTTCCTTCGTGTGCTTCAGGTCCTTGGGACACCAACGAGGGAGCAGATCCGGGAGATGAACCCGAACTACACAGAGTTCAAATTCCCTCAGATCAAAGCACACCCCTGGACAAAGGTACGTCCCGGCTGCAGCAGAATATTAATGGATAGCCGTTATCCAAACATCAGCTTGAAGTTGTTTTTGCTCTTTATGGAAAAATAAACGTATGTAGGAACCATACAAAAACAGGAACATGTTTATATCTACATACGAGTAAACTGATGCTGCTCCCCAGTATGATTTATTTGCAGTGTTGAACAGAGAAATTGACTGACTGTAAATAAAGCAAGTTTTTTGCCTAATAGTAACAATCAATAGTACTTTAGTGTGTGTGTGTGTGTGTGTGTGTGTGTGTGTGTGTGTGTGTGTGTGTGTGTGTGTGTGTGTGTGTGTGTGTGTGTGTGTGTGTGTGTGTGTGTGTGTGTGTGTGTGTGTGTGTGTGTGTGTGTGTGTGTGTGTGTGTGTGTGTGTGTGTGTGTGTGTGTGTGGTGTGTGTGTGTGTGTGTGTGTGTGTGTGTGTGTGTGTGTGTGTGTGTGTGTGTGTGTGTGTGTGTGTGTGTGTGTGTGTGTGTGTGTGTGTGTGTGTGTGTGTGTGTGTGTGTGTGTGTGTGTGTGTGTGTGTGTGTGTGTGTGTGTGTGTGTGTGTGTGTGTGTGTGTGTGTGTGTGTGTGTGTGTGTACTAGCAAGCCACATGAATGTCTGGGAGCAAATACATTTTATATGCGACACAAATATGACCAGGATCCGTAGAATTTTCTGAATATTGGGTTAGGGTTAGAATTTTCAAAAGGGGGGATTGTTTAGCATGAAACACTTTCTGAAAAGAAACTATTTCTGCTAAAAAGTGAGCAATGATTGAGTCAGAGCTAAACATTTCAGATGTGTGTATCTCACACTGCACTGTCACTTAAATGCATGTACCTTTGTTATTCATGTTTTATAGAGTGCCACAGTGATGCGTCCTAAAACCCGGAAGTAAACTCCTTCCGGTTCCTTCGGCAAAAAAGCAATGCAATTTCTCCATAGGATTTTGGAAAATAGCTGGAAATAAGGTCTGTGGTTGAAACGCATTTAAGAGACGGATCACGCTTTGTTCAGTCGGATAATATCCACATGTCTACCCATCTTTTATAATTTTCTAATCATAAATCTAATCGCCAGAAGCAAAATGCTAACGTTATGCTATAAACGAACTACAGCAGGGTCGCTGCTTCAACGTCACGCCAACTTAAGATCCATATTCAAACATACAGATTCTAAATGGCGCAAGTTGAAGTGTTTGTTTGAACAGTTTGCAGGAGGCAGGTACTTGCTTTCAAGCAGAACAGGGCTAACAAACTTAGAGGAGTGTTTACGTGTTCGGCGTAATGACGTACAACGGCCTGGACAACTTCTGTAGTCCTATTCAGCCACTTGGTAACAACCATCGTTTCTCAGACACGTCAACTCTTCAAAAATCACCAGTGGGGTCACTGCTGATGGATTTAATGTCGTAGAACAAAACGTGATCCGTCTCTTAAATGTGTTTCAACCACAGACCTTATTTCCAGCTATTTTCCAAAATCCTATGGAGAGATCCCATTGGCTCTGAGACGAGGGAACAGGAAGTGGTGAAAATGCTAACTTACCTCCGGGTTTTAGGACGCGACACTGTGGCACTCTATTATCTTTGCTTTTAAATGAGTGTTTTTAAATGCCATTTTATAACCTGTTTCTTAATGTCTTTCATGTTTGTAAAGCACTTTGAATTGCCTTGTGTTGAAAGGTGCCTTATAAATAAACTTGCCTTGCCTTGAATCTAAATAACCCTGTGTCTCTCTGACTCTCTCTCCCCTGTCAGGTGTTTAAGCCTCGCACGCCCCCCGAGGCCATCGCTCTGTGCTCCCGGCTGCTGGAGTACACGCCGGTGACCCGGCTGTCTCCGCTGGAGGCGTGTTCGCACGCCTTCTTCGATGAGCTCCGTCAGCCCAACACCCGCCTGCCCAGCGGGCGAGAACTGCCGCTCCTCTTCAACTTCAGTCCCGTCGGTCAGTTCTCCTCCTCTCCTCTCATCTCATCTCCTCTCCTCTCTCCTCCTCTCCTCTCTCCCCCCCCCCCTCCCACGTCACTCTGCTTCTGTTTCAGCTCCTCTGAGTGTCTTGGATTTTGTCCTAAAGGGCTGCACAATTAATTGGAATCTAATTCAAATTGCAGTAACGACTAGTGCACTATTCAAATCGCAATAATAATAAAACTGTACGCTAACAGTGCAGTAAAAAGAGCAATTCATTAACTTCAGGAAACATAGATGGTCACATCATGAATCTAAATAACAGTTAAATTAAAATAATATTTGTTAAAGGGTAAATGAGTTCAACTTGAGTAAATGATCAGTGATTTGCAGCGATGTTCGGCTTACCTAACAGACATTTGTTTGGTTACGATCTGTCCTTAAAACAAATCACACAATGATCGTTTTAATATAGTCTCCCTCGCCGATGCACTATCAGTCAAAGTAGTCGCAATTTGTCGTTTCTTTCCCAAATCATGCAGCCCTGTTGTCCTCTAAAGACCTTCACTCAATCTAAAGACCTTCACTCAGTGTCTCACTGCACCCAAAGTGTTTTCTGTGTCATTAAAGCTGCCTCTCTCTCTCTCTCCTCAGAGCTGTCTATCCAGCCCCAGCTGAACTCCACACTCATTCCTCCTCACGCTCGTGCACAGACATCGCCTGCCTCACATGGTATGTATCTCAATTCAATATTACACTCTTAGGTGTTGTCTTTTTCAGTGACAGATCCATCTATACAGTATATTGTCCATTAAGCACATTGATACTGCAAAATAATTATAAGTAGGGCTGGGTGATAAGACATTTTGGATATTGTAATATCCAATGTGTCTTTTCTTTCTGTTATTTAAAGTTGGACTGCATTTCAGTTAAATAATGTGATTTTATTGGTATAAACAGTCATATAGAAATGGACTATGAAAACACTAGAGACAGTTATTGAAACTTATATGATCAAATATGAGTTATACATATTGTGATATGTAATTGTCTCCCAGCCCCAATTACAAGTAACCCTTTGTTCAATTTGAAAACTATAGTAACTAGTGTGAGAATCAAAATATTTGCCCACATTCATGGACTATATAATCCTCCGGGAAAAACTGCTTAACCGCCGTCTGAAACTTCAGCCCATTTGTAAACCAGACAGAGTAGGCTTTGCTACTTTAATGAAGATAACCTGGAATACTTTTATTTTGATTTGTAGACGTATATAATGTCATGATAGGCAGTAAAGTATCCTATATGAATGGTGTGTTGTTATCTCTCTGTTTCTGACCCTGCTGTCCCTCTCTCCCCCTGCAGAGGGCGGTGTGTCAGACAGTACCGCCCAGCCCAGCTCAGCACCCGGATCCATCAACAACAGCACCTGAGCACCACCCCTCTGCCATCCTTTTATTTTCGTCTTCCCTCCCCATCTTCCCTTTTCTCTCCTCTGCTCTTCTTCCCCTCAACCTTCCTCCTGGCTCCAAAACCCCCCCCCCCTTTAAAAATAGAAATAACTTCACACACACACACTCAGCAGTGCTATTGTCCCTGAATCTTTAACCATTTCCAATAGAAAGCAATCTCTGTGGCTGCTAGCTTCTGGAAGGTGTGGGGTTGTTTTAAGGATATGTGGGGAGCCAAGCGTGGGTTTAAAATAAGCTGCAGTTCATCTGGCCTGTTAGAATAAGTCAACTCGACATTGGTTGGGATGATTGGGATAAAAAGGAGGGGGGGTTGTACATGTTATGTGGATTTTCTCTGTATTATAACTGACTTTTATCCCTTTTTATGTTCATTTTTATTTGCATTGGTGTATTTTATGTGGCCGTGGTGCCATTAAATGGGGTCCTGATTGGCTTTTGAGTTGAAAGGCCGTGTGAGAGGCCTGACTAATAATGACAATCATCTTTAGTGGCACGCATGTAGTGTACACACTTGATTATAAGACCCACTGTGTAGACTGGAGGCTTTTAGGCCTCTTTCTACCTTCAAGTATTGTCAGTTCATCCAGCGGCACGGTGGCCACGTGAAGACTTTTTTTTTTAATCTTCAACTTTGACCCCAGAACATATTGGCTGATTTTAGAGTTGGTTTTACATTTTATTAAAAAAGGAAATGCACCACAGCCTGTCTTTTTAAAAAGCTCCTCGACTGCCTTTTATGTGAATGAGAGGGAGCAGAGTGCACAGTTTCTTCCCGATAAGCTCATGTTTTCATCGATTAAGCTACAAGCTTCTCTTATTGCACATCTCCAAAAGGGAGTAGAGGGGAAGCAAAGGGGTGAGTTATGTTTGTCCAGCTGTTATCATAACGCCACACAGGTTGTTGATGTGGGGCTCCAGTTACATCTAATACAGAAGTGTCATAAACACCACTTCGTTAATTATGTCACTTTGTGGTTTCTTATGGGCTTGATTATGTTGATCAGGCACCTTCACCGCTCGTCATCGTCATTTCACACAGTTGTTTCGTGCAGGCGGAGGACTGAATTTAGTTTGGTTTGTGAGAGCGACTGGCTGAAAACCCTCTTCCCAAACAGTGCAACGCTTCCATCATGTTCTTAGTGTCCCTCTGTGGAGTTAGTCGGAACTGATGGTGAATGATTTGCGCAGCCTACCGTCGGCAGTTGTCTTTCAGACGTGCATGTTCAGCCCACACTATATTGCTTCCACTAATCTCAGTAATAATCCGACCAGCTCAAACCCTGAAACCCGGCGTCTTTTTGGAGCCTCCCCTTCCTCCTCCTCCTCCTCCCTCTTTCCTCCTCCTTTTTTCACTGCTAAACTGTAAATATCAAGTACCTTTTATTTTATTTTGTTATTTTTATTGTTATTATATTGTTGTTCTTGTAATTTTTTTTCTCTAGTAGACCGGCGCAGCAGCGTCCGGACTGTTTATCCTCAGTCGCAGTCTGTAAATACGATTTCATTTCAGTCCCTGGTTCAGGAGGGGAAATACAGAACAAAATGTTTCATTTTTACTCTCTCTCCCTCCATTTCTCGATTCACCACTTTCCCCTTTCCCCCTATAAATGTTGTCATAACTGTTTTATTTATTGTATTGTGTTGTTTTTTTTGGGCGGGGGTGGGGGACTCGTTTCCACTGCGGTGGTACAATTGAGGTTCTTTTTTTTTTTTATTCCAAATTTGAGTCCAACTATGTCACATGCAAAACGATTTCACATCCAAGATACTGTACAGAGATCCGGACGTTGGTGTGTGTGCTTTCCAATCAGTGCTGTCGTGTGTATGCTCATAAGAGCCAACACGTGGAACTCCAGTTTTTTCATTTAACTTCAATGTGAAGGGAATGTTACAAGCCTCTGGATCTACAGGGTCGTGGTGTTGAGGGAGCACGGATAACCCTGTGTGAGTGTGAGTGTGTGTGTGTGTGTGTGTGTGTGTGTGTGTGTGCGCATGTGAGTGAGTGTGTGTGTGTGTCTGGAGGAAAGGGGAAATAATGAATCTGTCCATTGACATGTATCATCTCCTGTGTCCGACCGTCTCCTGTTTCGCTTACTGTGTTTAGTATGAGTGTACAGGTGTTAGGATGTGTGTATGCTTCACAGATACTTTGTGAGTTTCTGCAGGGAATGTAAGTGTGTGTGTGTGTGTGCGCTGGCAGACCATTGACATTATTCTCAGTACTCCTGACTTTTTTTCCTAAAAATGAAGAGCTCATTAAATGTGCTATTTTAATGTTTTTTTTTCTTCCATCTTCTGATCTGTCACACTTTGTTTTTAATTTGCTGTGGCCCTGCTCTTTTATCTCTCGTCTGAGGGTAAATGTCAAAGTTGGTAAACAGAACGGTTGGAAAAAGGAGATGATGAAGAGAGAGGGATGGAGGGAGAGAGACAGTTTTTGTTTGTTGGTATAAATAATTAAACTCATTAATAAAGTGATGAAACGGTTCCTGTCTCACATTCGTTATTCAATTATATTTAAAAAAAAAAACTGTTAACACGAACATGGAGGAAACAAGGCCCTCTAAAATATATAGTCAAATCATGCCATAGCATTTGTTGGTCAAATAAGTGAAAGTACCATTAAAGTAGAACTGCCACTATTCTTTGATTAGTTGATCGTAAAAACAAATTATAATCAGCCTTTTCAATCATTTTTTTTTTCTAAAAGCTGTTTTTCGCCTCTTAAAGGTGGGGTATGTAATTCACTTCAGAAACACTTTTTGTTATATTCCATGGAATGCTCTTAACATCCCGATAGCAATGAATAAATTAAATGCTTTGACAATAAATACATAAACAAATGTCATCTGTGGAAGCCGTGGCGCTGTAAAAAGCACGACCAATCATCTGAGCCGGCCCGACTAAAATAACTGGATGGCCTACCTGCCTGTCAGCCTTCCATCTCGTGCACACACTTATCTCGTGCCCTCATTGGTCATGTGCGCATTCGTGTGTGTTGGAGGAGGGGCTCTGCAAGGAAGTCTGAAGGAAGGGGCAGATTTCTTTTGGCTGCATACTTTCAAATTCTAGCGCACTCGAGCTGGTTTCTCCATTCTTACCTACCCTACCTTAAAGTATGGATTTTCCCACTTCTCCCTGTTTTCATATCTTGTTACACTAAAGGTATATATTTGTGTAAACATCCCTGTTTTCTGATATTTCTTAGACCAAAATGTGAATCTAAAAGATAATCTGCATATTACTCATGAATGGTAATTGTTAGTCGCAGCCCGACAATACAGATAAACCGATATGGGATTTCAGGGCTTATAATTGTAACTTATACAATACAATCACCTGTAATATTACTCGATCAATTAAGAAAACTACTAAGGAATATTTAGGCCTTGAGGTGTTTTGTGTTATTCTGGCTGAACTCAGATGAAGGTATTTTCATCTCCGTGTGATGAGGGTTCAAATAAATGTTTTTGTTCATCTCAGGTGCTGAATTTTGGCTGAACCAATAAGGAATATTTTTCATTCTCATAGCAGAAGTTCTGTTTTTCTTTTGTGCTTTTCTCTTCTTTTTCTCCTACAGATGTTGATAGCTAAATGAAAACTTGAGTATGAGTCACAGTATTTTGTCTTCAGCTTTGTATGAAACCTTTCATCATGCAAGGATTAATGAAATTACGCTGGGAAGTGGAATCAGGGCTGGGTCAGCAAGCCTCTGAAGGGACCAGTTACACAGCGAGGAAATCCAAACAGTTGTTATGGGAACCATGCTATTGCTAAATGTCAGTGAAAATGTTTTTGACCTTGACTGATGAAGTCTTGCACTTCCACAGTTTGATGTCTATCAGAGTGAAGCTGGTTCACAGACAATGAACGTGCTGCTGTTCGTACGGTTTGCTGGCGTATTTATATATGTTAACCCTCAGAGACTTAAACTGTTAAAGAGGCTCTGATGGGCTCAGTTTTAGAGCTACAGTGGAGATAGGCAAATTAAACACACTCTAAAATGTGTCATAACAAAAACACAATATTTCTGATAGATTTTCTACTTTCAACAAAGTGTTTTGTTGCATCTCAATGAAATCCTCAGGTTTCAAGTTTATCTATTCACCCATGCATCTATCCATCCATCCATCCATCCATCCATCTATCTACCCTGTTGCTGCTTTGTACAACTGAATTTCCCCACGGGGATTAATAAAGGTCCATCTTATCTTATCTATCTATCTATCTATTTACCTATCTATCTATCTATCTATCGGACTAAGTATAAGATATGAATAGTTATTTGGTTTAATTAGCAAATCAAAGAAGCCTGTATCACATATCTCTAATTAGTCATACAGACCAGAATCTGTTATTCCCTCCTGTAAAAGAAGAGCAGGATTTAATGAAGTCTCCAGACGTCTGTGAACTTTCGTCTTTCGTCTGTCTCCCGTTTTAAATAGAAAATATTCGAAGACTCAGGCAGAACCTTTGCAGTCCGGTGCTGGACGAACATTCCTGGTTTCCTTTGAGCCGGCCCCTCGAGTTCAGCTCTGATGAATTAATAAGTTTGTCTTTGTACAACCTGGACCTGTCCTTGGTCTCCATTCATAAAAAATGAATAGCCATTTTCATTTCTGTAGAAAGTTTTCAGTTCACAATTTTTTTTATTGAAGGTGTAAAAAAAGTTAGTTTTCAAATGAATTAAAGGTTCATTACAGGTTGGTGTCTTTTCTTTTAAATGTATGGTAACGCTAATGTGGGAAAACTAAACGGAGTCATTATCAATCTTTAAAGATAACAAGACTGTTATTCCAAGGAAGTTATACAAAAAGTTTCTGTGGTTCCTGTTTTAAAATGCTACAACAAAATCCTAAGTGGAAGAATATATTGTTATGACGTTTTTATTTTATAGAAGGGGCAAAAAAGCAATGACGACTATCTTTGCGATAACATTTTAAATGAGTATTTCAAGCTCGAAAAACTATAATTTGAACTCACAAAATAAGTGGTAAACTTATTTATCTTTCCATTACTTACATTGTTTGGTACAACGACGCAAAAATGTAACCCCCAATATACATTTTTCAATTTCTAAAAATATATTTATACATCTATCCCTAACTGATACAGCTTTGTAATTATTATCATTAACCAGTTCAAGAGGAAATACAGAGAAATTATTTTCTCGAGGTACAGGGATGGGGAAGGTGTTTGACTATGTGTATATGTGTATATGTGTGAGTATGTAGGTGTGTATATGTGCATATATGTATATATGTGTATGTGTGTGTATGTACATATGTGTATATATGTCAATCAACAGGTAAAGCAGATTCATAATAATAATAACAATAATAATGAATGATAATTATTGCAGATTATAGATTATAAATAAATCATTTAGGGACAAGGGGGTGAGATTAAATAAATTATATTTCTTCTCACTCCTTTTCGAACACTAGATGTGGGACTGTTTATGTTGCTAATGCTGTTGTTGTTGTTGTTGTTGTACATTTTGATTTCTCTTACATGACTATGCACTGCAACATTTGTTTTGTTTTGTAATTATTTATTTTACTTGTTCGAAATAAAATGTATCAATCAATCAATCAATCAATCGAACCTTTCCGTTTCATTTGAACCAAAAATGCAGATAATTGAGAAAACCTTCCAAAAAAATCTTAATTTAGGGAAAAAGTGAGCGAGAATTATATATTTGACTTCAATAAAAAGTATAATAGGTGATATTGCTATTGAGATGTTGACATTTTTAAATGTTTATTTCTTGTCTTTTAATTTGATTGTACAATGCCATGTCTTTTTATGCTGCTGCAACACAAACATTTCCCAACTTGGGATCAATAACGTACTTATCTTATCTTATCTTATCTTATATAGATGTGTCATTTTCAATAACAATGTTCACAAAATCATGTAAATTGCTGTTTGTATCCTTTCAGCATTATAGAAAATGACATCCCCCATTAACAATTTCTATTGTAATGCAACATCACATGCACTCATGAGACTATGGACAAGGATAATGAATGAAACAACACAACGAGAGATGAAGAGAAAATAAAAAGATGTGTGAAGTCTTGTGTGGCCAAGCATCTTCCTCCCCTGGGACCTGCAGTCTCTGAAGAGGCATGCGATGAAAAACATGTCCGCTAAGTTGTCATCGTGGTGATGTGGTATGTCAAGGTTAAATAATGTTCTAATGTGTCAGGCAGATTGCAGTTTCTGTGGAGCCTGTGTGGCCCCGGCCTCTGGCAGGATGCCCGGCCGGCTCTTTAATACCATTTGCAGTGGAGTTAAGCAGTCTGCAGGCTGCTTGTCTTCACAATCAGCCAAAGGGGCACCGGGGGGCACTGTGTAATTCTGCAAAAGGAGTGGAGTGGGCTAGTCTATACTTTCTCTGACCTCTGTATATAACGCTTGGTGCAGCTGACTCTCAGGAGGGTAAATCTGATAAGTGTGAGGCTATAGAGTGTGGATTTAATAAACCTCTGCGGGCATTCAAGTGCAGCTGAAGCCATGTGAAACAGTAATGGCTGTCACTGGATAAAAAGAGGTGAAAACTGTCAGCAATCAATCGTTGAAGAGCTGCAGTAATGAACTCTGACCGTGGTTACATTGCGTGTAAACAATATTAATATAACAGACTGAAGCATTAGCCTCGTAGCAGTGCTGTGTGTGTAGTCAAAGCGTGTCAACCAGCTTTAATTAAATATTCAGGCAACCTGCCAACATCCCTGCTGAAGAAATATGTTGTATGTTTTCAATGTGCTATATAAGGTTATTGCCTTATTTACAGTCTATAGTTTTTTACTCCAGCCATAAATAAATACCAGCAACCCTTTTGGTTATATTATGTTAAATTGTATCAATGATTTTACAGTTGTTTTCTGTTCCAGATGTAGTGCCACATGTTCTGTTTTTTGTCTGTCTCTTAATGTTATGCTGCATGAACTTAAATAAAGATATGTATATGAGGGGGACCCAAGTTCCCATCAGCAAAAACACGTGGGTTTGGTATCCTGGCTCCAAAATGGTGGAATGAGCTCCCCATTGACATCAGGACAGCAGAAAGCTTACACATCTTCTGGCACAGACTGAAAACTCATCTCTTTCGACTCCACTTCGAGCAATAAAATGAAAAAATGAAAAATAAAAAGCACTTATATTATACTAACTAAGCACTTACATACTAACAAAGCACTTACATATAACAAAGCACTTATATACTAACAAAGGACTGGCTTATCTAAAGCTAGTTGAGTAGCACTTGAAATGTTTTGGCTCTATGAAACCTGATGTACTTATATGATTCAGTTTTCTTCAAGTTTGTATCTTCTTGGTCGAATGCACTTATTGTAAGTCGCTTTGGATAAAAGCGTCAGCTAAATGCAATGTAATGTCATGTCATGTATATATGTTTACCCTTTATCTGAGATACATCAGGGTTGGTTGGGACACTTTTTACTCCCGGCTTATTTTAT